AACACGAACTCCGATCCATGGAGTTTCCTTAATATAGTCTTCATGGAAAATCTTACGATTGGGATATAGCACCCTTGAAGCCCATTTTTGGCCCGGGGAATGAGTAACCTATACAATTTTGGCTTCAAGAAAACGACTCAGCCTTGTGTTATGGAAAGTACTGGATGAAAGAAAAATTCTGAGAGGACCTTTTGAGGAGAAACCTAGAATCTCCATTTCTTTGATGCCAACAAGATCAGACTGGCGATGATGTCACATTACCAGGAGTAACATGACGCTTCAAGGAAAAATACCTATACCCCAAGAAATTTTATCACTTGGGAGGTGGGATGGCCAAGAACGGATTTTTCAAATGAATTAATCACTTTCATAGAATCATTAAATTAGATTTTATATTACATTTTATTAGATGAAAGATCTGGACGTTGGACAGGACAATAATTGTAACATTTATTTGCTTCGATCGCGGAAATCATGCAACTGCAAAAATCTGAAGCAGGATTTCAGGCAAGCCGCAGGATTACTTCCCTGGTTACACCCGATGGCTCTGGATGATCTAAAAGACTGCCACGATCTGCATTTTTGCAGGTGCGTTTCTGGGTATGCCAGATGAGCAGATGAATGCAGCAGTTTCCTTTACTTTGTATGTCAACAGACTAACGTTTCCTGTTACCAACAAAGCTTTTGAGAATCCTTATTTCTGGGCTAGCCAACACTTAATGCATAAACTAATTCAGCAGTAAATTCACCCACCATTCACAAGATTTTCATCCTATTGGTCAGACCGTAGTTCGACGGTGAAAGCTTTTTGCCTGATTGAACTTCATTGTTAATGGAGAAGGGGATTAGAAGGATTAATGGAGAAAGGGATTAGAGCTTCTTAAGCCTTTCCCTTCTTTCCCTTGCCCGATTCATCATGAATACTGGGAGAGTCAGAAATATTCATGCCATATGAAAGTTTTATATTTCTTCATGCGCAAGAAAAATAAAGAAAAAAAAGGACGATACCAATACGAGGTACATTGGCGTTTCTTTGATGGCCGGTATTAGGTGTTTCAAACACAAGGCCGGACGCAAAAAAAATCCTGGCTTGCAGACCATGCAAATCATCATGATGATCCTACAAACATAAATGATACCCTTACAACCGTGACTGTAATCCAATTGATTACTGCATGTGGTGTGTGTTAAAAGCGAGTGTCCAAAACTTAGATCCAGCGGCATGAATGCATGCAGCATGATGGCTGATGCTGAAAGAGGAGTGGAACCTTGTCCGTCGAGTGCAATCGACCGGTGGACTCGAAGATGGAAGAAGTCGTCAGGAAGAAGGGGGAAGGCGAGGGCATATCGGAAGTATTCTGTGAACTAACTAAGCCAGGTGACGTGCAGACGATAGTCATGTGAACGGGGAAAAAAGTCAACGTATTTTCAGCTGGAATCTGGTCCCCGCCTGTTTTCACGAAACTAGTACATTTCGGCCCAACGAACACTAGGAGCTTCATAATTTATAACAGCTTGCCTCACTCTTCACTATCGACTTCCCTTGCCTGACGAGCATGCATGACGACAAAGCAATCCCCAGTAGTTTCTCAAAGTCTTCCACAATCAATGACTCACCTGGAAGCTATCAAACGATAGGGATGATAGGGGAAAGTCCCCCTTTGCGGGAATCCATGCAAGGCGGCACGCTTTGAACAAGAAAATTAGGTGAAAAGTTAGTAAGAGTGCAGTTTTAATCCCTCTCCAGATTTGTCTATACCGTAGAGAGCCCCGAGGTACGTCCCTGCGTTCGTTGCCGCCTGCTTTTCTATGCTTAGCCTCAGGGTCGCCCAGAGGTTTCCAGGGACCCGGGCAAAACTAAACTGAAGGCCCCCTTGGAAACTTGAGGCCCCTTTTGAGGCCCTTTGGAGGCCCCCCTTGGGACCCCTTGATTCGTGGGGCCCGGGGCAGATTGCCCCAATTGCCCCCCCCCCCCTCTGGGCGGCCCTGGTTAGCCTGGCTTCCTTGGTACTCGTTATGTTGCTTTTCGGTCAATATTCCTTCGAAGTCTTAAAATATTATTTTAAAAGATGCTAATAGACCAAACCTCGCCCGTTTTGGATGATAAGATACCTCAGCGCGAGTTTCAAAGCAAATATGCATCAACTAGAAATATGCACAGGGGTTTCATACCAATACTGGAATACGAAAATCTCTTGCAAAATCACGTCGTGATTGAAGTCGTCGACAAATCACGAAGTGTGAGCGGTCCTCGTTTCACCTTATGAATATCAACGACGGTGCCCACGAAAACCTCATCCGATCAAGAAGTCATAGGCCTAGAGAGGCATTTCACACTCACCTGCACGACGTTTGATGGAAATAAATTTGTCGACGAGCAGGGACAGCAAAGCGAAAATGGCTCTAACAACTGCCCTTTCTTCTTCGTCAATGCATCGTTTCGTGGCGATTTTGAAGCGTGATGGCTCGTTCTTAGTCAAAACCCGTTGGAAAGATCGTGTACATTTACGACTCTCGAGCCATCTAGGCCTGATGAAGGGACTGCCACTACCGAGGAACCCACTGGGCGCAGCCATCTTGGAATCACGCAAACGCCGGAATGGAAAGTGGCGGAGGGGAGCCGAAAGTGAGGAGGAAGGTGTAGGGAAGCAAAGGTATTCCTCCGCTGCTTCCTCTTCTGGTTTTCTCAGACTTTATAAAATCTTCGATGTCGAGTGGACAACCTGTCTGCAACGTCGTACGGTTTTCATCATTTCCATCACGCCGTATCTCCTGCTTCCGTAGCAAGGTTTTGCAAGTGATATTTACCGTATTCCTTGGAAATATATTTTGCATATTCCCGACTGTCGCTTGTGGGATCTCGTTGCATCACTTCAGCCTTCTTGAAATCCTGATTTCTGTCTTGACATATTCCCAACCATCCAGACCCTCTTCTTCCGTTAAGCCGTTTCGAGTCCGAAACGCCGAAGAATCTCATCCGCGAAACTTCACGACAGATGTTACTTTCGACCGAAACGACTCGCAATTAAAAATTGCCAATTCATTCGGCAGGAAATGCAGAGTCCAGGGCCGAAAAAGTGCATCGGGTGGAACGCCTGCAGACTACTGAGGCCTGCCTCATCGCTTCATCCTATTTTCATTGAGCATTCCTTCGACGCTGTCGCTCAGGATCTCTTTGAAGAGCGAGTCCGAATTTCACAAAGGGCTCGTTAGCCTATGAGAGCTTTCTAGTCTTTAAGCAGCACAACGTCCACCATTCGCCCATGCCTAGGAGTTTACTCTGGGGATGACTCCGGGGATGACTCGTTCTCGTTTCGGGTTCCTTTTGCCCCGTGGAGTGACGACCAGAGGCGAGGAACTCCCTTCGTCATCTGGTATGTTTAAATCAGGTTTAATTAGATTTCAGCACAGCAGAAATTCTTTGATACGTATTTTGCTCTCTTGCATCTGTAAGAAAGGCACTTTTCAAAATCACTTACTAAACACTCATTTGTCTGCGTGTCTTCGATCTGAAGCGTGATTGTTGGCTCGAAGAAAAGACATAAAAGTCGGGTCCAAGTCGGGCGACATTCCGTTTAATTGCTTCAACGCCCTAATGCATTTAAACATTTAAGCGAGCCGTGTTCTCTCATACAATCAATTCAATGAATTCCCAAGTAGCACGTAGGTGGTGGACCACCAACTACGTTTGGAGAAGAGAGCTGGTGGCCCACCACCTTTACTATGTTGTGGGCCACCAGTTATATGTCCCACTTGCCAGCACTGGCCACCTTCCGGGCCGTTTGAAGGCCAGCACAATGCCAGGTAGCTCGTTGGACGTGTAACTGGAGAGGGATCTAATGCGTATCCAATTCGCTTCTAAAAACGTGGAGCTCTGGCGGGCTCAGAAGAATCAACTGTGATGCTGCATCTCCTCTTCCCGCATCCAATGCGGAACCTTGAGAGGGTAAGCGAGACTTTGGGAGCACTGCGTCGTCCTGCGTACAAGGTGCACAGTATTGAATGGCTCCTCGATTTTTTCCCCCCTTTCCCCGTTTCCGTACATTTCTGTACTCCCGTACTTCAGCATTTAATATTTCCTTGAGTCATATATTGCAATGAAAACATCATAATTCCACGCTTTCCTCATATCTGTTCATAAATTGCACAATAAAAAGAGGAAACAACTTTGCTAAATCAGGAAGGCAGGTGCCTCATTGCATTCGAAGGGTGCAGGAAACACGAGTACCACCTAGTGAGGACTCAGTACTTCATCTGGGGGAGTACCAGCCACACAATGGGAAGAGGCTTGGTGGATCTCCACCTACACCAGGTGGCGGGCCAGCAATTGCATTTCCCACTTGTCGCCACGTTCCCGCCCAGGCAGAAATCCGCCAGTATAGTGCCTGGGCTGCTTATGGCCCACTAATTTTGTGCTACTCGGGTTACTATGGATGTAACGGAAATAAATTGATTTTTGAATGGATCTGTTCTATGAGGAGTCCGTCCCGTTAAAATAGTAGAACATTTTTTGTTCATCTTACTTTGAATTATCCGGACATGCTCGACGAAATTTTGTTCTACGAGAGTGAATAAACCGAACTGAAATAAAATCTCGAGAACTTTATCTCAAATCGTATATTCATTCTGGCATTCAGTCTGCAGTCTTTCATTCGTTCTTCCATCGACGGGGGTTTGTTCGAAGCTATAGCGGCTAGGAATATAGACACGATTTGCACTTTGCAAGGCCAAACGTGGAAAAGGCATGAAACGAGGAAACGAGCCTCTCGATCTTTTCGAGAACTCCATAAACTTCGAAGAGGCCGGAATCCTCCGAAAAAAAAAAACTCTGACAGGACGGACACTCCCACGCGTTCATTCGGACGATAGGTACTTCTTAATCCCTGCGAGAGGAAGGCAACGAACGCGTCAGGAACGACTTCGGAACAAGGCTTGGAACGACACCGGAACCACGCCGGAACCACGTCTGAACCATGTCGGAACGACGTCGGAACCCGTGATCACTGATCCTCGTCCTCGTCGAGGAATTCCCCATCGAGTTCCTCGTAGTCCTTCTCCAGCGCCGCGACGTTCTCCCTCGCCTCGGAGAACTCCCCCTCCTCCATCCCCTCCCCGACGTACCAGTGGACGAAGGCCCGCTTGGCGTACATGAGATCGAACTTGCGGTCCAGCCGCTCCCAGGCCGCGCGGATGGCCGTCGTGTTCGCGAGGGAGCAGACGGCTCGCTGCGTCGCCGCCACCTCCGTCCCCGGCACCTGCGTCGGGGGCTGGTAATTGATCCCCACCTGGAAACGGAGACGGGGTTCGGGAGAACGAAGCAAAACGGTCGGGAAATCTCCCGACGACGTGCAGGGATTCACGGACTACTAGCTGAACTCTTACCATTAAAACTGTATTTCTCTTGGAAGAAAATAAAACGGTTCCAAGACAAATTTAAGTATTTTTCAAGTTTTTTATGAAATGAGAGCGCATGAAGCCTTTGCATCTCACCTCATGGCATCAGTTGACTCCATTCCCATTTGCCCCCCCCCCCCCCCAAGGAAAAGAAACAGACAAAATCGACGACATCTAACTGCCACCTGCCTTGAAACCCGTCGGGCACCAGTCGACGAACTGGATGTCCTTCTTCGCCTTCACGTTCGCGATGGCAGCGTTGATTTCCTTCGCCGCGCAATCCCCTCGGTACAGGAGGCACACTGCCATGTATTTCCCCATCCGAGGATCGCACTTCACCTGACGCATCGAGATCGGGAAACCGAAAAGTTATAACTATAAGTTGTAATAAATACAAATCGATATTAATGGTTAGTACTTATATTAAGCGCATTTAAAATACATCGAAGCTCGCGAGTGCATGGGACCACGCTGGTAAATCAGCTCGAAAGAGTACCATTTGATTTGCAGGTAGGAAGCAAGCATCCGTGATCTCTTGAACGGAGATCCTCTCGCTGGCGGCCGCTTGAGGGGTGCACACCGGGGCATACGTCGCCTGGGGATGAGTTCACCGAGGTCAGCCGAGGTCATCCGGAAGAGAGAGAGAAGGAAAAGAAAGGTACTTACGAGGGGAAAATGGATCCTGGGGAATGGGACGAGGTTCGTCTGGAACTCCTTCAGGTCTACGTTGAGGGCCCCCTCGAACCTTAAGGATGCAGTGATGCTGTCCAAGAGACAAAAGTCGACGGTTAAAGGTCGACGGCCGAGACCTTGACCCACATTCTCATCCAAATTTCTCGTAGGATTGATAAGCCTTTAGATCGATATGTGACATATTCGAGCTCCAATTTAGGAGACGTCGATCCTTTTCGCCCCAGCCGATTTCATGAAGACGCGAACCGACCTCGGCATCTTTTTGTCGTCCCACTTTTCCTCTCGGGACTTCTCGGTAGCGCAACGACACCCCGACCTCCCCAGACGAACGAGCCGTGAGACCCGGCTATTCCCCCACCGTGGAAAGCTGAGGCGGAGAATGGGAGTCGGCCGAGACACGCGCAATGGGTTCTCCGCCCTCTCAGACCTGCAGCTGCAGCATTGAGAGTGATGCGACCGGAGGCGGCACTCCGCTCGAATCCCATTCATCGACAGGGTCGCAATATAGATGTCGCTGTTGATCCTCCACCTAGCGTGCGCACATCAACAACTACTCCTCCACGGCCGAGCAGCGGACACAACGAGACTCGCGTGATGCGGTGAGGGATCCCTTTTGGGTTGAATCCCTGAACGAGTCGATTCCCAATTCCCAATTGTAACGAAGCACGCCTCATGGAAGTGTTGTTAACAAGGCACCAGATGTCTATAATATTTCGGACCTCCCTCCCCCTTTGCTTGAACCCCGCCGGCTGCTTACAGTCACTTCAATCCCAGCAGCCGAACGAGGAAGACTGCCCCCAAGAAACACCCGATGCAGTGCGCTTTCACCACGAATCTCAGGTCCCGTCTAGTCGCCGCCTTCAAGGGTAGGAGAGGCGTCAGAGTCCCCGGGCCATCCCACGGCTTCACTCACATGGGGTTCATCTATGGCTTCTATGATATTTACAACTGAAATTAAACGTCCACGAGCGCCAAATCTCGAGAATGGAATCATGAGAAACAAGAAATCACCAGAACTATGCGATATATATGTAACTGTACAATTTTCTCTGGAATGAAAATGTTCTCAGCGATACAAATAATGTCACACGATCTGAAAGAAACAAAGTTCCCTTTACTCTGCCACCCGGGACGGAACGGAACGAAACCCGTTCCTGTCCTCGAACGAAGTCAATCACCGAAAATCCTACAAAACTCGCTTCGGAACAAAGACGGTCTCGAATCACCTGGAGACGATCTGACCGATGAGTCGGTTGAGATTGACGTAGCTCGGCCTCTGGACGCCGAGCCTGCTGAGGCAGATGTCGTAGATGGCCTCGTTGTCCACCATGAAGGCGCAGTCGCAGTGCTCGATCGTCGTGTGCGTGTAGAGGACGGCGTTGTACGGCTCCACCACCGCCGTCGACACCTGCACGGTTGGGTCATTTTGGGTTTTTGGTAATTGGGAGTATTTGGGATTTGAGTGGGAGGAAGCGATTCTTTATACTCTTCGAAGATCGGAAGAGATGCTAGAAACACCCGCTGTTCACGCCAGTTTTCGAGCCAGTTTCCTCTGGCTGAATTTTACTCCTGCTTCCAGAAGTTTGCCGGAGCAATTTCAACCGGCGTCGCGGAATTCGATCGAAAAAGCACGCATGTTGAAATTTCATGGTGATAGCTCCTACTGCGTCAATGTAGCATCCAAGAACGGCGACAAATTTAACATCACTATTGACATCATCGTCAGAATCGGAACAGTAATCGATCTCAGTCGAACTGAAAACTCCTCTGCATGTCGACACGATGCAGGACGATCAGCATTTCACAGGAAGCAGGATCTCCCAGAATGATCAGCATTTCACAAGTTACGAGCAGAAATATCCCGTGAACTTGAGCATAAAATTGATGTTACATGTCAATATTGACGTTGATAGAGAGGAATGCACTTCACAGGACGTTAACACGACGACCTTGAAAATTTCCGCATGAAATGTGGAAATTTTCCATGCCAAATTGACAAATTCGATGTAATTTACTTGTGAGTTTTCTCGCTCAAACTGCGACCATAAAATTATAATCGATTGCAACCAATCGATGCGTATTAGTACTAGTTCCAAGGAAAAGTTGTATGAATATATTTATACCTCATCTCCACATTGTCGATTTTACTTTTGGCGAGAAATCTAACACTTAAACATATCCAGGCATACTGCTTGAACTTTCCGGCATTCCCTCGTTACAAGCCTGGAATTCCGCATCCCGAGCTCGTAACCCAGAAATCCCACTCGCATCGGTCTTAACCCTCAGGTATCAAGCCTGGGAATCACGCCTGGAAAATACGCCTGGGACCGGCATCTCACCATGGGCGCGGGGTAGATGGAGAAGGCGAGGATGCTGCTCTTGGGGAAGTCCACGCGGAGGTTCTCGTTTAGGAGGGAGCCGAACCCGGAGCCGGTCCCGCCGCCGAAGGAGTGGAACACGAGGAATCCCTGCAGGCTGTCCGATGCCTCGGCCATCTTCTCGATTCGCTCCAGAGTCTCGTCCAGAACCTCCTTCCCTGGGGAAGCAGAGGGGAGACCGAGCCGTTTTTCTTAGGTTCTTTGAATTATTGTAAGCTTACGTACCAGGGGAGGGGGGGGGGGGGGGGGGGGGGGGGGGGGGG